CCATGAGTCATGGCCGCTGAGCCTGCACATCCAGAGCCTGTGCTCCGCAATGGGAGATGCCACAACAGTGAGAGGTCTGCGTACCGCCAAAAAAAAAAAAAACTACAATGAGGTATCACCTCACACCAGTTAGAATGGGCATAATCAGAAAATCTACAAACAACAAATGATGGAGAGGGTGTAGAGGAAAGGGAACCCTCTTGCACTGTTGGTGGGAATGTAAATTGATACAGCCACTATGGAGAACAGTATGGAGGTTCCTTAAAAAACTAAAAATAGAATTTCCATATGACCCAGCAATCCCACTACTGGGCATATACCCAGAGAAAACCACAATTGAAAAAGACATATGCACCCCAATGTTCACTGCAGCACTATTTACAATAGCCAGGTCATGGAAGCAACCTAATGCCCATCAACAGATGAATGGATAAAGAAGATGTGGTACATATATACAATGGAATATTACTCAACCATAAAAAGGAACAAAATTGGGTCATTTGTAGAGATGTGGATGAATCTAGAGACTGTCATACAGAGTGAAGTAAGTCAGAAAGAGAAAAACAAATATTGTATATTAACGTATATATGTGCAACCTAGAAAAATGGTACAGATGAACCGGTTTTCAGGGCAGAAACTGAGACAGAAATGCAGAGAACAAACGTATGGACACCCAGGGGGGAAAGCGGCGGGGGTGGAGGCGGTGGTGTGATGAATTGGGAGATTGGGGTTGACATACATACACTAATATGTATAAAATGGATAACTAATAAGAATGTGCTGCATAAAAACAAAGTAAAACCAAAAAAATAGAATCAATGATAAAAAGAAATAACTAAATGGTAAAAGAGAGGATAAGCTTACCATCTTAGCTTCAAAAACATTAGTAATATGTTTTCATCACTGTTTCCAGATATGGTAATCTTAGCCATTTTAATTGCATTAAGAGGTAACTGATGTTCACAGTATAGTCTATTCAATTAAGGACATACAGGGTGAATCTAATTGTTTTATGGGAATGCAATTTCTTTCCATATTGACTCTCAGCACAGAGTTAATTTGGAATACAACCAAATGCTTTCAAAAACAGTTATAGATGACACTAACCATGTGTAGATGCTACTTTATAAAAGAGAGATATAAACAATTTTGTAGGTATAGAGTATACGGAAAGGACTGTTGAAGACAACTGAGATTTACTGTATGTGTATAAAGTTTATGTATATGAAAAGAGTCATATAATGAACATATACACACACACCATAAGCTGCTTGAGAACGAGAACACTCCCAGGTGTTTTCTCGGCAGAGCACAGTGGTTAAAGGCATGGGCTTTGTGGTTAGAGAAACCTGGCACTGACTCTCATCTCTGACCTTTAATAACTGTGAGACCTTGAATAACTTACCTAATGCTTCTATGCCTCAGTTTCCTCAATAGAAAATAGAAAAAATAACAACTATACTCATATGATTATTTTGAAGATTGAGTAAGATGATATATGTATAGAATTTACACTACCAGACAGATAAATCCTAAGTACTCAGTGAATGGTAAATACAGTATTATTGTTATTATCATCATTATCCTCATCTTCAGACTAGACCCAGGTAACTGGAATGTAATCACAGTTCTGCCTCAATCAGGCAAATGACCTTGGGCGAGTCAATTAACTTTTCAATACTTCATTCTGCTGATCTATATAATGATGTCCAATCCAGGGGAGGAAGAGCAGAGGTACTGCAGAATGGCTGGACTATGTGATGGTGGACATTTTATAGGATGTTTGCAAAGGGCAGAGTGGGTGGCCTGGAACTGAGGCAGTAAGAGGCTGCTACATCAGTGCTTCCCAGAAACTACAATTTCACAAACAGGTAAAAAAGGATTTTTTTTTTTTTTAAGTTTCTGTGGCTCCAAGAGAGGTCTGTCAACTTTTTATTCTGCCAAACTTTTAATCAACAAAAACCAAATATCTATCTACCATCTCCCTCCTTTCATAAGAGGGAAAATTTACAACCAATATAATAGAAAGAACACAATCTTAGACTCTCCTTCAAAGTGAATAAATTTAGCCTGTAAAGATCTGGCCAGTGGAGATCAGCATTTCAAATGTCAATATACTCTGAATGAGCGAGGGTAGGGAAGGGAGGAAAGAGGCCAAAAATTGAGCCTTGGAAACACTTGGGAGTGGAGATGAGAGGCCAGCAAAGAGCAGCAGAAACAGCAGCTCTGAGCATCAGAGGGATGGCAGGAGGCAGGAACAGAGCGGGAGAGAGGACCCCTGAATTGGAGTGAAAAAGTGAGGTCTGTGTCAAAAGATGGTATTAAATCTAAACATTTAAACACTTAAATCAAATAAAATCAATTTGGCTTTATCACACCATTCTGAAAGCACTACCTAATTACTCTAAATAAAATATTAGAACCATAACTTACAGTTGAAATAATCAGATTTGCCCATCCATAAGTTTATTTTTCCATATTACTATTTACTCAAAACAGCAAAAGAATATCAGCTATAATAGATACAATATCAGCTATTAGTATTATATGTAATATCAGCTATATTATATGTAACATAATATATAATAGTTATAGTATATAATATAGCATATTCTTATCATTAAAGCCATAGACTACTGATTACAAGTGCTTTAAAATTTAGTCTAGGTAGAAATAAATGAAAATAACCTAAAAATCTAATAGTAGGGAAATATTACATATATACACCTTATAAGGTGATATGATAAAATATTAGGCAACCCTTAAAAATCTTGTTTTCAAAAATGATTTAATGATTTGTGAAAATGCTCTTGATATAGCATGAAGTAGAAAGGGTATTACACATTTCTGTGTAATTCTCTTTCAGGAATATTTATAATAATAAAAGTCTGGAAAAAGAAAACATACCAAAAAGATAAAATTGATCAACTCTGGTATTACAGATAATTTAATATTCCTTATATTTTTCTGTATTTTACATACTTTCAACAATAAACATGCATTACTTTTATAATTAAGGGAAAAAAATTATAATTAACTTAACAACTACTTACCCTTGGGAGTTTAGGATTGAAGTAGTTAATTACTCCAAACTCAAAATAAGATGCAAAACCTTCATTGAGCCAGATATTGTTCCACCAATTCATGGTAACCAAGTTTCCAAACCACTTTTGGAGTTGGGAAAAAAAAAATTCTTAAATTCAATTTAAGAAATATTTATTGTAATTGCATGTGAAATAAATGGAAGGTCAAAGACAAAATTAAATGCGTTTTGCTATCAGTGATAAACTTGAAAACAGGACTCCAAAATGATGTTGTTGTTTTAACCTGAAGAGATGTCAGTCATGCATTTCTTCTAAAATAATCATTTCACATCCAATGACTGAAAGCAATTTTTGTTTTAAAATTGTGATGTTAAAAAATAAGGTAAGCTAGAGTAGCAGTTCTTAAATTGTCCACTTTGCCCCAAAGTTAAGTTAAATCAGAAGTCCTGAAAGTTTACTTAGCACCTACTAATTACAGAATCTTATACCTCTAAACAGACTACATTAGGATCTTGCTGTAAGCAATGATTGTGTTTTCAGGACATGATTTGATCTGCACCATGTAAAAATCACTCAAGTATTCATATGTTCTGCAAAGTGGTACAGCTATAATTATTTTCTATTTGAGCTTAACAGAAAGAAACTGTCAAACACATGATAAATAGAATCAGGAAAGAAAAACACAATAATTTCCAAAACCAACAAATCCACATCCTGGTATTTAACCAAATTCTTATATAACAGCTGTGATGTACTAATAGCTGCCTGTATTCCAAAACAATGTGTCATTTAGGCTATAATAAAAAATGACACTTTGGGTGACTGATCAAAACTTGTGAAAGTATGTGCTGACTGTGTAACAGGGTGTTATTCAATCCCAGTAAATCACTCCTCTCCAAAACTTCTTAGGAGTCCATATAACAAAAAGATAAAAATATCATAGTTTAGATGACTTCTTTCTTGACAAACTTGATTTATAAAGGTCAAAATGCAGATGTGAGAATCTCCATCAAATCAAATAACTAAACTTCTAAAATCACAGCATAAAAGCGTATAGATTTAATGAAATAAATCCTGTTTACATCACCTTTGGGGATGCAGCTTAAGGATTAATTACTGCTCACCTCACTGACAGCAGTATATTGACTATAATCTTTTAACTTGTAACTTCTCTCAAAAAAAAAAAGTTTGTAACAATTTGCTAATGAAATGTGGATATCTTCCAGTGACTTTTTTGAGTATCTCTATTTTAAGATGGAATGGAAAGCAAATAATCATAGCTCTGCTTGACTTACTTTTCCTGAAGAGAACTTTGTGGAACACAGTTACTCTTTGGATATAAATATATGACCTGTGAATGTTCTTTAAGTTCTCATCACTGTGATTTATCACCAATAGTTCAAATCCACCCAGGATCTGATTACACAGATCCTTCCTTGTTTTCTTTCAGCGACCCACTTTTCAAATAATTTTTAAAATTTGGTGTACAGCAGGATTTGGCGGGGTTGCTACTTTTGGTACAGCAGCTGGAGAATATTTTCATGTGAAATAAGAAAGAACGTTTTACCACATGCCTGATGTCCAATCTCGTGGGAGACAATATAGGAGATCACAGTCTTTTTTTCTGTTAGTTTATCATTTGGTTGCAGCAACAATAATGACTCATCAAACATCAACAGTCCCCAGTTTTCCATTGCACGGTTGTCAAAAGTAGGCAAAGCAATTATATCTAAGTGGATTTAAATGGAGGGAAAAATGAAATCATCTCTTCCTCAAAATTTGAGACTTCCAGATACAAACATATCAAAATGAAATCATAAAATTAATGAAAGAAAAATGCAAGTAAATATTTATAATTTAAAGGGAAAGAAGGCTTTAAAGACATACCAAAGACAGAGTCAGAAAATAAACTGTTTTGACTATATGAAAATTAAATACTTTTGATAAATGACCTATATTCAAAATATACAAAGAACCCTTGAAACTCAACAATAAGAAAATAACTTTACAAAATTAACAAAAGATCTAAATAGACACTTCACTAAAGAGATACAAATGGCAAATAAACAGATGAAAACATGCTCAACATCATATGGCATTAGGAATTTGAAAATTAAAATGACAATGAGATACCATGACACACCAATTAAAACACCAAATGCTGGAGAAGATGTGGAACAACAAAAACTCTCATTCATTGCTGGTGGGAATGCAAAATGGTACAGCCACTTCAGAAGACAATTTGGCAGTTTCTTGTAAAGCTAAACATAGGCTGAGCATACAGTCTAGCAACTGAGATCCTAGGTATTTACCCAAATGAGTCAGAAACTTATGTCAGAAACATGCACATGAATATTTATAGCAGTCTTATTCATAACTGCCAAAACTTGGAAGCAGTCAAGATGTCTTTTAATAGGTGAATGGATAAAGAAACTGTAGTACAGCCATACAACAGAGTACTATTTAGTGATAAAAAAGAAATGAGCTGGGCTTCCCTGGTGGCGCAGTAGTTGAGAGTCCGCCTGCCAATACAGGGGACACGGGTTCGTGCCCCGGTCTGGGAAGATCCCACATGCCGCGGAGTGGCTGGGCCCGTGAGCCATGGCCGCTGAGCCTGCGCGTCCGGAGCCTGTGCTCCACAACGGGAGAGGCCACAATAGTGAGAGGCCCGCGTACCGCAAAGAAAAAAAAAAAGAAATGAGCTATCAAGCTATGAAAGGACATGGAGAAAACTTAAATACATGTCACTAAGTGAAAGGAGCCAGTCTGAAAAAGCCACACATGGTATGATTCCAGTTAGTATATAACAGTATGGAAAAGGCAAAACTATAGAGACAGTAAAATATCAGTAGTTATCAGGGACTTGGGGAAAAGAGGGAGAATGAATAGGTGGAGCACAGGGGATTTTTTATGACAGTGAAACTATCTGTATGATACTGTAATGGTAGAGACCTGTCATTACTATATACATTTGTCAAAACTCACAGAACTGTACAACACAAAGAGTGAACTCTAATGTAAACTATGGACTTTAGTTAATAAAAATGTATCAATACAGGTTCATCAATTGTAATTTTAAAAAAAGCCACACCAATGTCAGACGTTAACAATAGGAGAAACTGGGGTTGGGGACAAGGGGAGGGAGAGGAGGTATATGAGGACTCTCTACACTTTGGGCACAATTTTTCTGTAAACCTAAAACTGCTCTAAAAAACAGTCTATTTAAAATCAATTTTTTTTTTTTTTTTTTTGCGGTATGCAGGCCTCTCACTGTTGTGGCCTCTCCCGTTGCGGAGCACAGGCTCCGGACGTGCAGGCTCAGCGGCCATGGCTCACGGGTCCAGCCACTCCGCGGCATGTGGGATCATCCTGGACCGGGGCATGAACCCATGTTCCCTGCATCGGGAGGCGGACTCTCAACCACTGCACCACCAGGGAAGCCCTAAAATCAAATATTTTAGTTCACCAAAAAACACCACAAACAAATTTGAAAGGCAAAACACGGACTGGGAAAAATATTTGCAGTATATATCACAACTAGACAATATTTTTTCAATATTTAAAGAACTCTGACGAATCAAAAAGAAAAAATAAAAATGTGAACAGCTCACGAAAAAAATAATTCAAACAGCCAAAAATCTTATTTAAAATGTTCAGCTTCTTTGTATCAAAAACAAAAATTAAAACAATGATATAACTTAATCTTTCAAATGTATGAGAAGGTTAATAATTAGTATTAGCTAGAATTAATAATTAAGTATAGGAAAACTGACACATAGCCTTTTGGCAAGGGTGTGAACCGGTACAATTTTTCTGGAGCAATCCAGCAAAATGCTTCGTGACCTTTAAAAATGTTCCTACCCTTTCCACTTTTGGAATTTCTACTAAGGCAAGTAGCATGGATATTTGTAAACATTTCCTTATGTTTTCTTTAGTGTTTTAAAAGCAGCATCCACCACCAAAAAGGTAAAATCAGTCCAAATGTTCAACCACTGAGGATTAAATAAATTATTCTGTCAAACTGATATGTAGGCATCCTATGTCTTAAAATGACAATAAAAAAGAATAGTTATCTGGATCATGTTGCTATATACTGTTAACTTAAAAAAGAAAAAAAGGCCAAAGAATAGTATCAATTCCATGGTATCATTTTTGTTAAAAACAAAGAAAGGTGGAGATTGAGACAAAGAAAGACACTGGAAATATATACACCAAAATGTTACCCATGATTATCTCCGCATGGTAGCAAAACAGGAGATTTTGCTTCTCTTTTTTGTGCTTTTCCCTATCTTTCCACATTTTCAACAGTGGGATCATTATTACTTCTAAAACTAGAACAAGTCTTAAAAGTTTCTTTTGCTAATGTAAGAAATATCATTCCTATAGTCCATGCTACATTTGCCTAATGAATGTTTTATGCTGTGCTATGCTCAGTAATTTAAGTTGACTTTACACTTGGTTGAAGTTGACAGTACGTAGTAAAGGGTATCCAGGTAGTGGATACATAGCCTCCACCAGGTAATGCTCTTTTATCTTTGGGTATACTTAGTTGCCTCAGCCTAGGTCTCCCCTTCTTCTAACTATCCTTTCCTCCACCAGCACCCATCCTACCCAGCAGCCCACCCACTTTCCTCACAAAAGACTGCTCTACTCCGCTCAAGCCAATCCCTTTTGCTCTCTACAACCACTGAGTCGTTCTCTGCTGGAGCTGTTTGCTAACCCAGGAAATCCTCAGCTCAGTCTATGAATGCCACCAATACCTGTGGTCCAATCTAACCAACATTAAGAAGCCATTTATAACTAACCCTGATGACTATTTTAAAAAAATTGTTTTTTCTTTACTTCAGATGCATACAACTGGAGTAAGCAAAATTCTTGTTTCTTCACACATGACCCTGTTTTATTTTATTTTAATGATGAATTCATTATTTTAAAATAATAATACAAAACCCATGACTCTACCACTTACCCTTTAGAACAGGGGCTGGCAAATTTTTTCTGTAAAGGGCCAGATTAGTAGATAGTTTCAGCTTTGTGGGCTATATGTTTTCTGTAACACATTTAGCTCAGGCATACCAGCACAAAAGTAGCCACACACACTATGTAAGCAAATGAGCACGTTGTGGTGCAATAAAACTATGGACCCTGAAATATGAATTTTATATAAAATTCTCATGTATCACAAAATATTATTCCTTTGATTTTTTTTTTTTTTTTGAGGTACACGGGCCTCTCACTGTTGTGGCCTCTCCCGTTGCGGACCACAGGCTCCGGACGCACAGGCTCAGCGGCCATGGCTCATAGGCCCAGCCGCTCCGCGGCATGTGGGATCCTCCCGGACTGGGGCACGAACCCGCGTCCCCTGCATCGGCAGGTGGACTCTCAACCACTGTGCCACCAGGGGAGCCCTATTCCTTTGATTTTTTTCAACCATTTAAAATTGTAAAAGCCAATCTTAGCTCATGGACCATACAAAAATAGGCAGTGGGCCAGATTTGATTGCTTGAGTGTGCCTAATTTAGATTATTATTAATAACTTGTATTCTGATTTCCAGACTGGCAGCATCAGCACCACCAGGGAGCTTATCAGAAATAAAAATTCTGGGACCAACCCCAGACCTACTGAATCAGAAACTCTGGGGTCAGGAGCAGCAATTTGTGGTTTAACCAGCCTTGCATGCGATTCCAGTGCATGGTAACATTTGGGAACAGCTGACTTACATCTTCCTCTGTGCTCCTTCTCAACTCAACCTTTAGCTTATTCTTCCAGAGATTCACCACTATCCTGAATTTGGTGTTTATCATTCCATTGTTTAAGAAAAACCAAGGGAATATATATATTGTTGCTAATATTATATATAATATTGCCTAAATATTATATTGTTTAGGTTTCTTTTGTTTTTAAACTTT